AATAACCAGAACATTGTACTAAGATATTTTGACTGATCTGAATGAAAATTAAGGTGCAAATATTTGTTTAGCAATATTGATGACAACTTAAGGTATCCTTGTAGACAACGCTCAGGTTACATACCAGAGCACACATGTGATGCATTAGAAAAGTATATCGTTAAGACCAAACTTGAATTAACATCAATGCCTATCAAACGTTTTGAAGACGACCTCATTAAACATGAGAGGGAAGCATTTGTCTCATTAAAAAGTAATCTTGGGATTTTTATTAAAAAGGCGGACAAAAGCAACACAGTTGTTGTAATGGAGAGTGATCAGTATATCTCAGAAGGTATGAGACAACTCGATTCTGCCTATTATGTCGAGATAGAAAAACCTGATTTAGACGCTTTGCACCAGAACATCCAGTCTAAAAATTTTGAGATGTATCAAAACAAAACATTAAAAAAGGAAACCTATCGGTTTTTAAGCACAAATAGAATGTCAATACGTTCTATTTCCATTAGTGAACTCTTCAAAATAAGAGGCGCGTTTGGTCGTCTGACCGGGACAGCATGGTGTTGCGGATAATACAAAACATGCCAATCGCAATCCAATTTTAAATGTTAAATGTATTTGTCATTCTAATTAAAGAATAGAAGAACTAAAAGACATATGCAAGAGAGCGAGAACTCTAAATTTATCATCCATTAATAAAAAAATACGACATTTCCGAGGCATGTGTATTGTATTAATTTAGATGTACTAACGATAAATAGATACATACGATCAACAATAGATATAAATTGATATCGTTGTCATTCCTACTCTTGCTATATATAAAGTCCACAACAATAAAATATTTCATTTGCATTTTCTTAGGAACTGTTCATCGACATTCAACATATTGTTTACATGTATGTTTATGTTACGTTTGTCCCAGAAATCCCGCGAGATTTGTACTGTAGTGGTTTAGATTTTCATTTCATAGCCATCGTTTCGTAAATAATATTTTACAAGTATTTGCTGATATTTCAGTCAGATTATTCTATTCATCATTTGTTTTCAGTTGTTACTTACGTAATTAACCCCTTTATTATTTGTCGTTTATAAGTTAGGACATGAGTTGACATTCCACATGTTTTACTATTTAAACAGGAAGTGTCATCCATGTTGGCAGTCTTTCCGTAGTACTTTTGATAGCTGTGTTCTGATTGGTTAACTTAGCTTTAGGATCTTTGATAGTCATTGGTTTTTTATTTTGGACCTTGCTAGGGTATTTAAACCCGTGTTCGAGCAGTTTACTTCACTTGGTTAGGGATAAGCCTCATGGCTCATTATCTCTGATTTTATGCCAACCTCAAGGTACACGGCATTATAGGTTTCATTTAGCACGTGCTGAGCGAGCACTTTATGATAGGTTAGATGTAGGTTTTATAGAATAAAGTTATATGATAGGTTAGGATGTAGGTTATTTAAAGTAAAATAAGTTTCCCTTTCCAAGTCCTGCCTGGTCTAGGGATATGTAGATAACAGGTTTATTTTCTAGAACCACTATTTATTATTTATTTTGGGTGTTGTTTATTTTCTGGGTCAGTTATTTTCAGAACCTAGAATTAGCATTGATATTTTCAGTTCAACTCTAGAGTGTTGATAGTAGTCATATTGGGTGATGTAGCTCATTCCTTTTACACTTTTCTAATTCATTCATTTTATAGGATTTTTGACAACTTTCATAAGTATGGAAGCCCAGTAGGGACATAAATTATTTTTTCATAGTTTTTCCACATTCCTCCCATTTTCTATTACAATTTTCAATTACTTATTTATTTATTGAGATTATTCATTGAGATTATTGTGAATCACCTACCAGATTAAATTACATTTTTTGATAAAGCCCTATTAATCCTGTGCAAATTTCAAAGACTTTTCTGTTTGTTAAATTTTGATCATTGTTTATTATTTGTTATCATTTACAAAGTTTAATTCTCACTTTATTAAATTTATAAAACTTTCAACTGTGTTTTCATTTAGCGTTGATCATAGTTCAGATATCCCCTTACCTGGGTTGACAATCATAACTGGAGGCAGTTTACTGCTTTAAGCCAAGTTGGCTAGTAACTTTGTTGATTTATCTATTAAAGAGTTCTACTTCTGGTTACAGTACATTTTCCGACTTTTTCACAAAAGAGCGCACTAAGAGGTATAACTCTTCAATTGTGGAAATAGAACGTATTATAAGTGTGGGAGTCTGTATTTGCTCCCTAAATACATAAAATAAACAAACAAGTGTTTGATGCACTTTTAAAAGGCCAATGCAGCCTCCAAAGAATTCCACCTGGTCGGTCAATTATCTCTCAATGCAGCACTAGGTCACTATACTGTGATCATTTCCTTGTGCCCATTGTTCAGAATCAAAACTCATACAACAAAGACGCGTCTAATTTTATACAAAAACACCGAATCTCTGATTTTACCTGAAAATATCATCCTGAATAAATTTAACTTAAATACACTCTGTCTTACAAATTGTAACCCTTCAATATTTTTTTTACAGAAGTAGTTGATGATGAAAGGTTGACACTTAAGGTTGTTAACTGTAAATGAACTTATTATTTGAGACTCAGATGTTTTAAGATTGTACTTTTTATCTCCCAAGCTTGATTACTTGATGAATTCAACCCTTACTTAGTCCTTTCTGGCTGCCAGATTTCTAGTTTTATCTCTATTACTTTTATTTGTTTAGTTGTTTACGTTATATATGAATGGCCATAGTTGAATTACTTCATTTTGTTATATTTATTACATTTTCAACGGTGAAATGCTGTCAGTGATTTATTTATTGAATAAAAGGGATATTCTCTCACAGTGTAAAAGGATATCAAAGTGATATTCAAGGATATCAAAGTAAGAAAAAATAATTTCTGGCCTGTCATAAGATAGTCCTAGGAGATATTAACTAAACCGTCTTGATAGTGAATAAACTGCCAATTTCTTCCCAAATATGTTGCTAAAATCCATATTGCATTGTTTTTAATCTCATAATTGCTATGACGTCTTAACCGCTCAACTATGACGTCACAGCCTATGGCACTGTGTAAAGAAAAGACCATTCTGTATATAAAGGGCGCGTTATCAAGCTAACACTGACCTCTATCCTAAGGGACAAATTATATACATCAAAATTTTGATTTAATTCATACGCAGCAGTAAACTATCGGGAGAAAAAGCGCCGCTTGATTTCATTTATTGTGAGACTAGAAAAAGATTGCCTTACTTTCAATTTTTAAAGTGTATATTTAGCATTGTTTGTGCAATATATTTGAAATATTTGCACATTTTTATAATATAAATTGAGTTGCGTGACTTCATAATACAAACGTATGTTATTTTGCTATGGATTCAAATGCGAAACAAAGAATAAAATATGAACAGATTTATAGTGAAAAAAACTAATATAATTACAAAAAAGAATAATTTCTAACAAATGGTATTTTTGTGAAAAGTTTATACACATTTAATTTACATTTTGTAGATTATCTGAGCAGGACAGGCTTAGCTTACATCGACCGATATTTGTAGAATGTTTTTTTCCTGCAGTTAAGAAATATCAAAGCGCTATGTTACACAGGGTAATATGGATATAGCATGTGACATTTGTGTACACAATGAAGAAAAGACAGAGGCAAAGGGAAAATCAAAGAAAGTACAATAAACAGAAAATTTTGTGTTTGATATGGAATTTATTTCACTTGTGAGACATCAAAAGATCCTCTCCCACTCGTGAAATAAATTCCATATCCATCTACAAAACATTGAATATCCTCTTTTTATTTTATAAAAGAAAAAATAACCTCTATTCTTGGTGGACAATCATAGTCTTTGGAACTAACGTATACACACTAAAAAAATAGAAGTTGTTCTGCTAGCTTACAAACATTTTTTTTTAAATCTCATTTATATAAAACCATGATTCAACTCTATGGCTCAACATTAGTAAGAGGGCCATGATTCTTTGGTACAAAAATATTCTTGCCAGTTAGTAGAACAATCGTGGCCCTATTTTTTTTATAAGAGAGAAAATCTCAGATTTTTTCTTGTATTTTTCAAAATAGTTTCCATAACGTCTACGTTAATACTTTATCTCTACCACTGATTTACCCAGAGAGGCAGTCCAGTCAAGATGTCGTACGCATCACTTCACCTGATCCACTTTTCGAATAAAACACTAAAACGAAAGTAGACCTAGTCAAATGACTTTTGAGGAACGAATGCGGTTTTTCGTGTCAAATATTGATCTTCAACAATTTGGAAATAGAGGTAGTTTGATAAATATACTGATACTTTTCATTATTTTTTTCGTATTTAATTCGTTCATTCTATGTACTGTGGATTCATCATTGATTGAAAGGAGGGGGTATTTTGTGGGTCACCTCTACCCATGACTTTACATCACTAAAAATGCAAATTTAATCCATTTATCGGTTCATTAAATCCGCCATGTGTTCGGATTACCCATGAATTACATTCCAATAAACCGTAAAATTTGATTGCCTACAAATAATCACCCTCATGAATTCAAATGATTCAACAGCAGTCATTAAGCAGTAAACAACATCCAGTACATATTGTTATCTTTAACGCAAGTAAATGCAGTCCCTAAAACGACTGGTCAACAAAGGATGTTTACATGTACTTCTCCTAAGCACCCCACCCACCTCTTGTGTTTCCAGGGTTCCATAACTTCGTCCTATTCGTCCTATTGGATTTATGAAATCGATCACTATTCATCATCACCACCTTTTTTTTATATATTGGAGGCAGTTAAGTGCAGGATAAAGTTTTCTGTAGCTCATATGTTTTTGAATTTTGTTTTTAGCATTATGCATTGTAAGAACACCGGCAATAGTCATCTTTTTATATTAAGGGAATGATTATTTATAACAATTAGAAAATTTACAGAATTATTATAATATATAATTGATTTGCAGAGGTTTGTTTAACATTTGGGCAATACAATGGCTACTCCTAATTCCTGGGCACAGGAGATTATCATGTGTGACCTTTGTGACAACCCCACACAGCAATTCTGTAACAGCTGTCAAGTCAGTTTATGTGGAGATTGTAGTAAGAAGCACGTCAAAGTAAATGGTTCCCTTACCCATGACATCGTCAATTACAAGGATAGAGTTACACAGCCTGTATCACCCAAGTGTGAAATGCATCTTAACCAGAGATGTGAGGCCCACTGTCAACAGTGTGACGTCCCAGTCTGCATGAAGTGTGTCATAACTTCCCATAACGGACACAATTTTAGTGAAATACCACATATCTTTCTTGAAAAGAAAATTGAAATTGAAAAAGAAACACATGAGATTGAATCAACTATTCTGATGAGTTTAAAGAAGAAACAGAGAGAAATAGAAACTAGCATAAATATATCAAAGGAAAAATTTGATGTGCTTAAAAGGGAATACGAAAAGGAAAGAGAAGTTTGGCACAACGAAGTAGACACAATATTCAACAAGATTAGTTCTTCGGTTGAGTCACTGCGAGATCGCCACCTCACAACTCTTAAGTCACACCTGTCTAAATTGCAGAGTTCGATTACAGATGTGATTAATACAACCCAAGAAAACAAAGTAATTCTCAAATCCAACAAAGTTTCGGATATCATTAGACACGAAAGTAAACTGCAAACATACAGAAACATTCCTGCAGTTGTCATTATGAAAATTCCTTCCATCAAAAAAAAAAAGAGAGAGAGGAAGGTAAAGAACTTGTTATAGAACTGGGTGATTACAAAGCCACTCTGTCACAGACAGGATTTTCAAGTCTGCTGGAGAAAATATGAGATTTATCAGTGAGGGAGCCCCTAAGTTGGTGCAGACAAGATGACAAAATTGACATGCAAGTAAGAAAAGATATTCAATGTCTTTTCTTTTTAAAGATTTATAAATATAATTTGGATGTAACAAAAGATATTTATCCTGAAGGAGATGGGAGTATAGAGTTAAAGTAGAAATAATTCAAAGTAAAGGAAAACGATTTTACAGTTGCTGCAAGAGGAGGATTCAACACTAGTAGAAAAGCTGAGACTGTCACAAAAAAGATATGTGGATGAACTCACTACAGAGAGATTTGAACATCAAAATACAAGGTAAGTTATAATTAATAAGATAAAATTATAATTTTATGTTTGTTTGTATTGTAGAGGTTAAGGTCTCTAGAATACGTATTGAATTATTATCTCATAATACAACAATGGATTATAATCATGATGAACATTTATTTTCAAGATAAGTTGAAAGTGTACAACACACAAAGGACAAGTTAGAGTGATCATTTTCAAATTTCTTGTAAATGAGGTCCTTTTGTGCACTGTTGGTTAAAATTGTGCTGAAATAAATATCCTGCTTTCACTATAGAGAGACCATAGGTGACCTCAAACAGTCGTTCCAGCAACTGCTGTCCGATCGTAATAATTTGTCAGAGAAATATGATACACTCAAATCACAGGTGAGTTTGTGTTGTCCATCAGTAGAAATATATACAGATACCCATATCAACTATGAAATAAATGGATTACTATGATAGATAGAGCAAGCCCACGGTCTCCTAAGTGAAATGTATTTTACAGGTTTGCGAAGATGAAATTTTAAAAACTTTGCATATATATATACTGTAAACCAACTATTATTCGCGTCAACTTTTATTGGCGATTCGTCAGTTTGAAATCAATCCGCGACGATTAATTTTCGCGACTGAGGAAACATTCTCTACAAATACAAAGCAAAATTAATGGTTCGCGACGATTAATATTCGCGAGTTCGAGTATTTCTCGCACGCGAATAAAAGTTGGTTTACAGTATATATATATACTTAACATAAAGAAGAAAAACACGAAAAACCTCAGTAAAGCTTTAGGCCCTTCATTCTATCTTCATAAGCTTTACAAAATAAACAACAGTAGTTACATAGTAACTTATGTTGATAAGTTAAATTCTTGGTACAGTAAAAAATACTTAAATAAATGAAAACAGAATGCTACAGTCCAAATTAAATAAAATCTTTACTGTTAGCGCTTTCTGCCATGTTGGCTCTTCAGACTGTTATGAAAAGTTCAAAACGTTGCCAATAACGTTGCTAATGACGTCGTAAAAATCTTAGGTATTATGACGTCACAATGAAGTTTATGGTAGCGGCTACATGAACTTTTTCAACGCAGTTAAAATACAATGTATAATTAAAGCATAAAAATAACATAAAATCTGTGAACACATAATCTATCATTTGCGATTTAGTTTTGGATTAAACAGTCTTATAAAATAGTCCTCTTTGGTTACACGGGCGCTTTCATCCGATGTCCACATTTTGTAGAACGGGAAAATCTTAAATTTTCCTTTATCACACTCAGCAAAATGTTCTGAACATGGGGTGCATCTGACAGTTTCGTCCCTTGTATGTTGTTTGTGAACCCTAACTCGTGCGTTGAGTTGATTTGTCTGCCCTATATAATGCTCTCCACAGGTAGGGCATATTGCACAGAAAATCAAATTTGAAGATTTACAATTCATACTGGTATTTGGTTTTAAAATTTTCCCGTTTTTAAGTGTAATATGTTCGCCCTCCTGAATGATATCACACGTTCCACATCGGGGGTCACCACACTTTTTGACGATTCTCTGGCTGCTAGAGGAAAATTTCGCTTTGGATAAAATCCGCCTCAGGGGGTGCTTGTCTTCTGCTGTTAATTATTGACGATTTGTCCAGAAGATTTTTCATGTTTTCAGATTGTTCTAATATTGGAAAAAATCGTTTCGCTGAATTTAGAATATTGTGAATACGTGGGTTATGAGTTATCACAAATGGGATGTTCTCTACGTCGTTTTCCTCTGGATGGCGACTTTTTCTTAATTTGGATATTGGTATGTCTTTTGCCCTAACAGTAAAGATTTTATTCAATTTGGACTGTAGCATTCTGTTTTCATTTATTTAATTTTATATATATATATATATATATATATATATATATATATATATATATATATATATATATATATATATATATATATATATATATATATATATATATAGCAACTGTTCCTTCGCCGTGCGCTCGGCACTTTGAAGTGAAAATTCACTGCTCAATGGCCCTGAGTGCCGAGTAAAGGTCAAAATTTGAAGCCCTTCACCGGTATATGTTGACGTCTCTCTATGAGTGAAAAATTCTCGGGACGTTAAACAACATACAATCAATCAATCCAAATCATGGACTCTCACGGCTGGAGAGTTGCAACAAAGTGTAACATAACAGAAATATAGTGAACAAATATATACATACCTTGAGAAGAACACCAGGAGCTTTGTCACATCAATACACACTGATATTGAATGTGGTGCAGGCTTCATGTTTATAGGTCCCCTAGAGGGCGTATAAATCAGTTATGTCGTCCCAGTACTCATAGTGCAATGGTTTAAACCATTAAAATGATTCCTCAACTAAAACCTCTTCTCAAAGCTTAGTGTGTAACTCGGCAATGTGTCCCTCTACTCAAAGCTCAGTGTTACTCAGAACTAAGGTCCCTCAACTCAAAACTCATTGTTACTCAAAACTAAGGTCCCTCTACTCAAAGATCAGATGTTTTATTGTTGTAATATAGCCCTCCTTGACGTTTAGTGTTCTGTTTTCAGCCACGTTTATGCTTTTCAATTAATTTCTTCCCCATATCAATATATCAGAATATATCAAATATTCTGGGACGGAAAACAAGTCCATATTTAAAAGTTCCAGTAATTACAATATCTTGTCTATAACATTGTTTTTTTTCTATTTTAAGGGAGTAAGTGCGATGGAATGAGGATGTGATAATGAAATCTATAATTTTATTATATATCTATATTTATAAGGCGCTTAGGGTATTGGTCCCTCCCCCTATCATTTTTTTCTTTTTAAATCAGGGATAGACAGAGTTTTTTCCTATTTGAGTATTCTAGTATGCATTTGGTGCTGTCGGCAATGTAACCCTTTAGTATCTTTAAAGCGTTTATAAATATTTCGCTCACGACTAATTCATAAAACTTAAAAAGATCAACAGACGAAGATATAAGATCTGGAGGCTTTCCCTTATTTTATGTACGAGTACCTGTCAAAAACAGGTCATTCAAAATCATTATCGATCGCAGTAGCGGCCAATCTATTTGTTGTTGTGTTAGAAAATGCACAAGGGAAAAAAAGCGTTATTTTTAGTTGTTTGATAGAATGATTCCTTATTGATATCATGCATCAAAGTAACGAATTGAAGAATTTAAAAAAAAAGTTTTATATCATGTCTTAATTATTGTTATTAATGCATTTCATTTTTTTTGTCAATTTTAATCATTTACTTTTTGATGATTTCACAAGTTTATTTTACAAGAAGTGCTTCACAGCATGGTAGTGTAAAATGTATTAAAAAAACTCGATTGCAAGTTTCCAGAAAATACTTGAGGAAAATTATGTTTTGAATATGCTACAGGTGCGATGACAAAACAATAATAATAATATTTTTTCGATAATTCACATTTATTGTGATACCCTCATCGGGCCGTCTGCATCTCATCACCTGACATACATCAAGGGTATTATGATCAGCACGTGGAATGTTTGCAGCTGATTTGATGCTTTGCATCCATCTATTATCTTGTCTCAATTGTAATGCATCTAAGAATACACGAATAGGGGAAAAAAATGTCTCGATCCAAGATTTAAAAAAAGAAGTACAGGAAGGTGTACACCCCAAGTGTATTTTCATATTATTAAAATCTACTTCATTCGGACATCACTAATCCCATTTAAAGAAGAAGGTATAGTTTGGGCTTTAATGTGCCCTAAAATTTTAATGTTTTCAACAAATTTTGAAATTGGCTTAAAAATGTGTTGAGTATCCCTACTACACAAACTCCGTCACCATAAGTGGAAAATACGCCAGATTACTTACTCTCTGAATTAATTTTGATTTGTTTCTTGTTAGCTAATCTTAGGAATGTACTTGAACATTGTTTTCAGAACTTGTTTAAAAAAAAATCAGTTATTGGACTTATACAAAACTACTATGAAAAGAACGCTTATCACATCCGTGTACATTACGTACAATGAACCCTAACTCTGTCATCATGCAGGGCCTTCTACAATATGTCAAAGTATAAACTAGAATTTTTTCCAGTTAAGTTTTTTCTCCCTTCATCTTAAATTGTAAACATGGAAATTTAGTTTTGAAGATTTAAAACAGTATTGAATTGTATTTTAATAAAAGTAACAACAACAGAAAAAATAACGTCATCTCAACATAAATAATGTTATCTCCAACGTATAGTGTATAAGGGCATATTGAGATGAAAAATTTAATATTTTAGACGTATTCAATATGGTATGTCGTATTAATCATTTGGCAAAGACCGTCATAAATATGACATGTAAAATTGAGCATATTGACGCACATGTCGGAGATATTGATGGAATAGCACATAAAGGAAAAAGTACTTCCGGATTTCACTTAAAATATGATAGATACGCATTCTTGAACTTGACAGTAAAAATTTCTCGGCATTTTATTGTAGATTTTCAGCATATAAAAGTGACGTCACAATCGCATTCGTTTTCAAACAGCGCGGAGTTTCCCGAAAGTGATGGAGTTAGGGTTGTGACGGAGTTAGGGGGTTTGGTGATGTATGAGTATGAAAAATTATGAAAGAATATGACATGAAGTAGGTCCACTCCGGAAATATGATTTCATTAATTTGGTACATCTTTAAGTTTCAAACAAAAAAGCCTCAAAATGACTCATTTCTGGGGGTAATTTTCTCAGGAAAACAGTGTTCACTGCCCTCGCCAACTTCAATTTTCAGATATGTTTTGTAATATCCTTTGAAAATTCGCATTTCAAATCTTTTTGGACGAGGGATGTGCTCTATGTTATCTGAGAGAAAATTCCAATAAAAATTGGTATCTTCTGCAACATTTTAGAAAATACGGGGATATGCACAAGTTCATGATGTCACAATTAGCATTTGGGAAGTCATATTAGGAAAAAAAAAACGTTTTGTATGATCTCACTGGGTGATTTAAAAAAAATCAGAAAGCAAGAGTTTTAATACAAACATATAGAAAATTGGTGTGCTAATAAAATGCGTTTATACGAATTATCACACAAGCCAATCAATTGATCACATCATGAAACCAAAAAATTAGACAGTTATTCCTTAAATGAATGTTAATTTGGAGAATTATTTCCAGTCAGTCATACATACAACTGTAAATATCAAATACAAACCACCCAGTGATATGTGTTGATTTCTTAACTTTTATTATGATCAAAAGTTTGATAATGTTCACAAAAAAAATTTGAATTACAGGCCTACTGGTCTAGCATTAAATAATTGAGAAATATATTTCAACTATTTATTAATAAAATTTGCAGATTTTTTGTGTGCATTTTACATTTGACTCACTGTCCTCTTGGTGCATGTCCTTTTTCATATTTCAGATGTTGAAAAACTTTGCCTTGTCATAAAAAATATACATGTATCAAATAGCAAAAACAGATTTAAAGTGCTGTATTAAATATAGATAAAATGGTAAATAAACACATAAGATTTGGAAAAAAAGAAGATGAAAATACTAAATATTCATATCTGTTTTGTTGTGTTTTCAGTAACTTTAAATTTTTAAAATCATTCTCATGTTTTCATTCAAAATTGTAAGGTTACTTGTTTTGTCAGTGAAAAGTTATAAGTGACTGTATTTTTAAAGACAGGGGGTAAATGTCAATGTGTTTGTTATCTGGGACATCCTTGACATGCAGATAATGAGGCTTGAGCTTTGACCTATCTATTGTTTAACTTTTATAATTGATAGTTCCATTGAAGACCAACAATATTAATAGAACAATAATAGCTCTCAAAACACTAATATTTCATCACAATGCGACTGTGCTATTAGTTTTACTTAAAATTTCATTTAATTTACATGTTTATTAATAAGAGTTCTAAACTTATTTTTTTCGAGAGAAGACATAGGAATGTTTTATGTGTACTGCCAACATGCGGGCAGTCCAAATCCTCCAAAACACAATAAAATATTTAATAATTTCTACAACCAAAGTCAATAAATATGGAGGTTCAGATCCAATGTCGAAAGTAATAATTTATTCCTCTCATACTTTATGGTAGGAACCATGTCTTCACTGTCCATGGTAGAGAATCCCTCATTTGGGTATATAGTGAAAATGTTGGGTAAAATATGAAATGAAACCAGAATAAACCTTGCAAGAATCTGCACTGAATCTGTAGGAACACATTCAATCCTAGTGGATATCACCAATATTACCATATAACTTTTAAATAATTTAATTTGAGGGGATAAAAACTTGGAAGTAATCGATTATTAATCAATTACATCTTCCAAAGTAATCGATTATAATCGATTACAGGACAAAAATGAATGTAATCGATTAATAATTGATTACACAAAATTCCTCTAAGTAATCGATTATTAATCGATTACATTTTTCAGTAATCGTGCCCATGCCTGCTACAGATACATGTCTGGACTGTATTGACCAGGACAACCTTTGACACTCTACAGATACATGTACCGGACTATACTGACCAGGACAACCCTTGACACTCTACAGATACATGTACTGGACTGTGTTGACCAGGACAACCCTTGACACAC